AGACCATGGGTTGCCTGCATCTCCCAGGGCTATTTTTCTGCTCCTTGGGAGCAGAAAAATCTAGAGCCGTGATTCCCAAACTTTGGTCTTCTATTTGTTTTTCACTTCAGCTCCCAGAATTCCTGACTGTTGGCCAAGCTGGCTGGGGCATCTGGGAGCTGAAGTCCAAAACAGCTGGAGGAGCAAAGTTTGGAAACCACTACCTAGAGTCTCTATTTTTGAGTGGGACAGATTTTCCAAAAAAAAAACACTTTTGTTCCACAATGCACTCTAGTGACATGGGAGGTAGATTTTACCATGTTCCTCCCTGGGCCATTTTAGGCCCAGGAAACATAGTTTTCTATCAAGGATCAACTTCTGTGTCTGAAACTCAGTAAAGCTCAATTTAACACAAAAAGGGGCCTAAATCCTAATGTTAACCCCAACTAGAGTAGACTCACTGAATCAATAGAATGTACCTATCTTTCAACCCACTATTTCAACCATTTATTCAGCGGAGCTGCTCCAGTTGGGACTAACTCATAGGGCTGAGGCCATGAGAAGGCATTCCAGATCCTTTGGATTCCAATGCCCAGAATCCTCATCCAGCAGAGCCATTGGTAAAGGTTTCTGAGGACTGCAGTCCAAATGATCGGAAGGGCCATGGTTCCCCCTACCCCTGATTTAGAGAGGCACTCTCTGTAACTCACTCCAGCATCTACAACATTTTTTGGAAAGGGTTGCATCTATAAGCATTTTTTCTTGCACAAAAGAAAGAGCTGCAAGTCATGTCCCCATCCTTCCTTCTCTGAACTCCAAACCATCATAGTGATGATGTTTCTCCATTTCCTGGAGGAGTTGCCACTGTTTGCTTTTCTCATGCCCCTGCGCCTTTAACAACAGCTTGGTGCACAGAAACATCAAGCTGGTGGAACTTTTTCCTGGCAAGAGGGTTCTACTTATTTATTTATAAAGTGATGGGAAAAGCTCCCATCTGCTCAACTTCTGCACACTGGGCAGCTGTTAAATGTACAGGAAAAAGGGTAGCAAACCTTACTTCTGGTTGCTGCCCAAGGTTGCCAAGTCTCAGGATTTCACCCACTGCCTTGCATCCCCTTGGAAAGGACTAAGATCTCAGGTTTTTCAACTTTGCTCCAAAACGTCTGCTATTTACTCCATCTCCTTCTCCCCATCTCACCTCCATGCCCATCTCTGGGACACCAAC